GTGTGGGAACCCAGCCATGGCCTGCCCACCCTCCCTTGTTCACAGGGGCCGGAGGGGCCGCCAGGCCATGGCACAGACGTCTACAAGCTGCCCCCCCCATGCCCCCTGCCCGAAGGCGCCCCTGGCCTGCCCACCCGGCCCCGTGTCCCCTCCCCGTTGGGGCCTGACATCGCCGCCTCCCGGCCTGACGCAGTGAGTACCCTGCCCCCACGAGCTCAGATACATGCAATGCGCCCCCAAACAAAGGACCCAGGGGACCACCTCCACCATGACCACCCAAAACGCAGCATCCCAGACTGACAGAGAACCCAGGCATCCAAGATGGACCCACAGAGGAGAAACCAGATGTGGAAGACAGCCCCGGACAGCTGGGTTCTCTGCCTGGCCTGCAGGGTGGGAGCCCACAGACCGGGGTCCCTTTAAGCTGCCCCGCATACACACACACAGGACCCAGGCGTCTGGGCCACACACATGTAGCATGGTTGGGCGGGGCAAACAGAGACCCCTCTCCCAGCTATGCGGGGTGGGCACCTCATTGGAGGAGAACCACCGGGGGGGTGGGAGGCTCCTCCTTACCCCAGGGACTCACTTCCCCCCGGGACCCCCTCCTACATGCCACCCCGCATAACTATGCCCCCCCCCCAGCCCCCTGACCCAGTACCCAGCACCTCGGCCCTCATCTACAAGAACATGGAGCGATGGAAGAAGATCCGGCAGAGGTTGGTGTGGATGCGGGGCGGGGGGGGAGATGCCTGAGCTCTCTGGAAGGGGAGGTGGGGCTAGGGGGTGAGAGCAGGAGGCTTGGGAGCCCGGACACCTGGGTTCTCTATGTGGGGAGGGTGCTGGGGGTCCTGTCCCCCCTCCTTCATTCTCCTTGTCCTACCCCAGGTGGAAGGAGGCTTCTCACCGCAACCAGCTGCGCTACGCCGAAAGCATGAAGATCCTCAAGGAGATGTACGAGCGGCAGTGACAGTCCCTGGCTCCGCCCACTCGAGACAGACCACGCCTCTTCCTCGAGCCCTACCCCTCTAAATTCCTCCCCTGGGATAACCCTGTCTTCTGTTGCCCTGTATATTTAAATCCTAGTCTTCCACTGCCCTGTCTCTTTAAATCCCTTTTCTGAGGTAAGCCCCACCCCCTTAAGCATCCCCACTGTTTTCCTGTCCTGTGGCTTTACATTTCTTAGGATAAGCCCCGCCCCCTCGGTAAACCTGTTCTCTCTCTTTAAGTCCCTCCCTTGGGATAAGCCCCACCTACCCCCCCCTCAGGTCCCTTCCCCAAAGGGGGGGCATCCCTGTTGTACTCCACCTGGCCAATAAACTGCCATAACACCTAGGTCACCTCTGTGTGTGTGGGGGGCGCACAATGTGAGATGTCACCAGGGGGTGGAGCTTAGGAACCCCCACCCTCCTGTGCTCCTGTGCTGTCACACCCCAGCCTAGCTCTCATTGGTGGGCTGGGAGGGGGCAGGGCTGGGGCACACTCCCTGCCTAGGAGGAGGGGGCTGGGCCTGTTGCCCACATGTGTACACATACACAAACACACGCATGTGCGTACACGTGTACGCGGGCAGGAGGCGGAAACACACCGGGGCCAGGAGCACATGGGCAGCAGTGCTGGGTCTGCTCCCCCCAGTGAACCCAGGTGCTGGGGACATGCCCTTAGAGGATCCTGGTGTCTAGGATCACCCAAAGTACCCAGGTGTTTGGGAGACACGACTTATGCCTCACACACACAGAACCCATCACACATGCACTGGACCCAGGTGTCTGGGACACACCCTGGTGTGTGGGACACAGAGCACAACACATCACACACAGCCCAGACATCTAGGACACCCCCCCCTGGGCCACAAAGAACCCAGGCGTCCGTGACAGGTGGACATGCACACACATAGAATCCACACACCTGCAACACACACACCCCAGGCATCCAGGACACACTCCTCTCCCCCCAGGGCACCCACAAGTGCGCACGCCCACACCCACCCGCACAGAATGCAGCTGTCCAACACACACCCACCACCCAGGCATTCAGGACACTCCTCTCCCCCCACAAAAAACACGGGTCTCTGAGACACTCACGCACGACCTCCCATCCACAGATTCAGGGTGAATGGGATGCACACAATACAGACATCCAGGACACGGACACACACCCACAGACAAAATCCAAGTATCTGGGGGCCACACAGACGCAGAGAACCCAGGCGTCCAGGGGTGACACATCCACCCACAGGGGACCCACACACACAGGTGCCCGGGGCATGCACACGGCCCCACGGGACCTAAGCATCCAGGGCACACAGGTACACGCCCACCCATAGGATGCAGGCATCTGGGGCATGCATGCACACGCACTCCCCCCCACCCACAGGACCCAGGCATCTGAGGCACACACACCCACAGGACTCAGGCATTCGGGGTGCGTGTGCACACACCCCCACACACACACACCATAGGACGTAGGCATCTGGGGCACGTGTGCACACACACACACACAGGATCCACGTGTCCAGGGCATGCACTTACACACACAAACACTGGTTTCCAGGCCAAGGCTCTTTATTACCTACCCCCCTTGGGGGCAGTCAGGCCCTCACTTGGGGGCATCAGGTCGGGCAATGGGCACGTTGCGCCCCTCAGGGGTGGGGCCCGGGGGATGCATGGGTGCCGTGATGGTCAAGATACCATCAGGGGTCAGCGCCGAGGTCACGGTCGCGCCATCCACGCCCGTGGGCAGCAGGTAGCGGCGGTGGAACTCCCGCGAGACGTAGCCATGCTCATCCTGGGGGCAGAGGTCACCGGTCAGGCATGGAGGGGGCAGGGAAATCAAGGGGCATCAGGATCAGGCTGGGCACTGGGGAAGGGGCATAGGATCAGGCACGGAGGTCAAGGGGCATGGGGTCAGATTGGGCGGGAGGTCAAGGGGCACGGGGATCAGGTTGGGAACTGGGGAAGGGTCAGAGGGCAGGCCTGGGCAGTCAGGGGCCAAGCATGGGGCAGGGTTCAGGCACTGAGGAGGTGTCAGGAGGCATTGGGGTCATGAGCTCAAGGTTCAGGGCTGGGGCGCGGTAAGTGCTCTCATGGGGGGAACAAGGTGAAAGGTGAAGCCCCTAGGGGTGGGTGGGGGAAACTTGGCAGGGGCTTGAGGGGCAACAGGCGGGACCGCCCCCACACACCCCCCAGCCTGGCAATGGGCTGTGAGAGTCAGAGGTCAGGGAATCAGGGTAAGGGTCAGGGCTGCAGACACAGGGGATCTGGTCAAGAATAGGATCAGGGTTCATGATATGGGGTCAGGCACAGGGATGGGGTCAGAACTGTAGATGTGGAGGATCAGGGTTCATGCACAGGGTTGGGGTCCAGATATGGGGGACAGGGCACAAGGGGCAAGCAGGGGTCAGGCATATGGTTAGGAGTCACTCATAGAGTCCTCAGGGCAGGCATGGGGTAGGGGAGCAGGGGTCAAGCACGGGATCAGAGGTCAGTCATGGGATTAGGGCTCAGGGGTGGGGGTCAGTACCGGGCGCTCCTCATGCTTGGCGTGCACCTCCACGTAGTCGCCGACCACCTTGACGCTCAGCTCCTCGGGCGCGAAGTGCTGCACGTCCAGCAGCACTGAGAACCGGTCCTTGTCCAGCCGCAACTGCGGGGGAGAGGGCACTGCTGGGAGAAGCCCGCGGCACTGCGGGGCGTGGCCTGGCTTGCTAAACGAGGGGCGTGGCTGGAGCGGAGGGCGTGGCCAGACCCGCCCCCCTCCCTGGCTCCCTGCCCGCGCCAGGATTGTGACCATAAAAGGCAGGTCCCGTTTCCTGGCCCCGCCCCTTCCCTGGCAGCCGCAACTGCGGGGGAGAGGGCACTGCTGGGAGAAGCCCGCGGCACTGCGGGGCGTGGCCTGGCTTGCTAAACGAGGGGCGTGGCTGGAGCGGAGGGCGTGGCCAGACCCGCCCCCCTCCCTGGCTCCCTGCCCGCGCCAGGATTGTGACCATAAAAGGCAGGTCCCGTTTCCTGGCCCCGCCCCTTCCCTGGGGGACTCCCCCAAAGCCGGGGGGCGGGGCTTCTGGGTGGCCTGTAGCCGCGGAGTGCCAGGGCCGGGGAGCTCAGGGATTCCCGGTGCCTGGGAGACGCCTGTGTCGGGGGGCCCTGGGGAGGCTCAGGGGGGCTCCTAAGGGGTCCCGGGGGGCAAGATGATGCGGTCCGGGGGGTCCCGCA